GATATCGAGTGCTATAAGTGCACGGAGAGACTCGAATGCCAGCAAGCCAGCATCATGAACTAGTGCATCTAGCGCGCGCCCTGGTGATCGATTGTACATATGCATTAGTTTCTACCATGAAACGCATGGATATGTGGAGATTTTCTAGTGCGAGGTTATTGTGTTCCCGACAATGGTCCTTGTGGGGATCGAACCCGGCTGCAGGCATTCTCAGATCGACTGCTTATCCAACTGAGCTAATGTATTGACGATGGTATTCTATAGTTTATAGTTCTATGGTTTGTGCGAAGTGTGAGAAGAAACTGGCCAAGTTAGCGACACCTGACGTGTATCGTTCCACCACTGGGGAGCAACACAAGGGTAAGATGGCCTTCTATTGGACCTCGAATGAATCTTTCAGATCGTAAGGATGTCGGAGTGAATAAATTGATTAAAAAGCAGGATAAGTCTACTCATGTGTAAGCGGCCGGGATCGAACCTGTGCGGGACTAGCTGTGTCGGGTTGTCAGATGCAAATCCTGCAAGAACAGCGTCATGAACCAAAACAAATACTGTAACTACTGGTAAGGACAATGGATAATTTTTATGCAACTTTTACAGCTGCAATTATTTTCAGTGCGTATAAGAAGGGCAAATGTGCAAGGTGCGGTAAGAAGGTGATCGACACAAGCTCTCACAATATGTCCGCAGTATAATAACAACCAATATTCGTCTTGCGTTCTGAGCTGGACCGTCACGCGCCACAAAATTACTCAACTCAACTCATTTCATTAGGAACCGTAAATAATACACATTCACACAACTCCTACTACTGATGCATAATACTCCTCCCAAAATCCGTCACGCGCCACAAAATTATTCACAAAGCCGCATCAACCACCACAGCATAATGGTCGCTGCATAACTTCAATTTATCGACTTCTTCTCCACAGTGTACAAAACCATCCCTAACTCGATCGATAGCCGCCTTGCTCGCCCACGCATAGTCGATTCGATACAGAGGAGTATCTTCTTGCGTGTGCGCTGTCTTGGTGAGATCTCCATAGTGACGAAGTACGTCAACATACTCAGCTCGTTGGAGCCTACTAGTAACTTCATCGTACTCAAAAGGCCACCCAAA